CCCAAAAATAAATAAAATTATAACACATAATAAATAAAGTGAAGAAAACTCACAACTTGTCATCTCTATCTCGTTTAATTTGGCCATCCATTTTCCAAAGTTGCAAATCTACCTCATCCTCTTGGGAGCCATTGGAAGTACTTCCTGTAGATGAACTGGAAGAGCTTTTCCAGCGAGTTGCTATGGTTTGGCTACTACTAGTTGATGGTTCAGACTTTTCACTTGTATCTGAAAGGATGAAACAGAAACAATTTCATTACTATCTTTCAATGAAATTTTTAGGTTAATATGTTGATTATAAGGATCATGTTTGTTGCATTTAGATAACAATAATGATTACCTGGAGTGTTTGAATGGGAGTTCATGCTGGCATCATTAGGCCACAAGACGGCACCATTGATTGGTGCTAGGTATATTAAGTCACCATGATTGAGACCAAGACTTTTCAAAGTTTTACTTCTTGAAGAACTTATTTCGTCTTTACAACCACGTTCGCGGAACAAAGCAAAGCAAAATCCGCCGAGTCCAAAAGCATCATGAACCTGCCAATTGAAAAACTTGTGTTAAAATGCTTAACTTCCTTAATTGATATGATCATTACAAAATAGATATGTAAATCAGTTTTAGTGAGCGAGTTAAATTACTTTACCTTTTGAAACAGGTCCATGGTAGTATCTTGTGGATCACACTCGACTCTGCGTGTGCCCTCTGAGGACTGGACGCGTAACATCTGTAGAATGAACAGTGCCAAGTTGTGATATCAACAAATTGTGTAGATTCTTTAAAAGCTGATGTAAGGGTCATGATTGATAAGTATTTAATATATTTATAACCTTTCTTTAAATCAAATCAAGCCAAGAACAACAGATCATATTTCAAAATATTGTTGAGATTTAAGACTGTTTAAAGATTGATGTCAATGCTAGTTTAATTGGCACATCACCACTAATCTAAATGAATGACATTGTAAATGAAATGACATTTCATTGACCAAAATCAATGGTTAAAGCTATTATGATACAGATAACGTGAGTACCTAGATCAATAAACTACCTCTAAAGAAATATAAGAAAATTCTACAAAGCCACGAAGAGTTGGTAAAATACATATGACGATTTATACCAAACGAGCCAAGAAATATTCAAAACTCTTTGACGAAACATCAAAAAAGTGAGGTTAGTATTCAGTAAAGGTCTGGTTGCTATAAATTGTAATCCAAAGTCTGAAGCGAACCAAACATGTAAAATAACTGACAAACTATCTAATCGATATGTTAAAAAAATTTCCTTCTTAATATCTCTTCAGGTGAAGTCCCAGAACACAAATATAGGCCTACCATCAGTGAATTCCTTGACTGATCGTGACGAAGCATTTAAATAACACTAAAACACCGGTTCAGTTGATTTAATCAGCATATAAAGCTAGCTGTACAATCTAAAAACATGAAACAGTGATTTCCCGTGGTTCAAAATTGACGGTCACTTACAATTTTCCTTTTTGACATTTTGAAGGGATCCTTTCCTGTCCGAGTATGTTCGAATCAGCTGTTACAACAGTTTCGGCAACGCTGTAGTTTTGTTTTCTTCCCATACAGGAAACACGACAAATGAGGATCAGCGCGGTCGTCGAGCAGTTTCTCATACTTGGAAGCGTTTCCTTCTGGAGGTGAAGTGCGTTTTCTGGAAGAATCAAAGCAAAGCAGCCTTTCTGCACTATCTTTCTGATAATTGTGCGTCGTCCTTATTAATTCTTGGTTTTTATACCGCAGGTAAGTGCATTTCTTTACATTTATTGTAAGGGTCATCAGTGAGATTTACCTTTATGTCAGATATAGCACAGTTGTACGAAGTAGAAAAGCTCGCGCCTTAACCTTAGTTTTGGTCTGTCGTCATTTCTGGCAATTTGAAATGATGACAGCTCTTACAAAGGTGATGCAACATATCTCTCAGCTACTTTGAATTTGGTATAGCGGTCGTCCAACTCATACTTCTGGAAGTTGTCAAGTGTGTCATTTTCCAGAGGCCCTGTTGCACAGTTGTACATCTTCATATGTCTCCATGGTCTTCAGTAATCTGACATCTACCTTGCTGTCATGTTCTCCACAGTTTCAGACTTTTCGAAGCTGTTGTTTTAGTTTTACTTTCTCAGTTTCCCGTCAAAATGAATCCCTTTTAATTTTTAAAGAGACATTAATGTTGATAGAAATCATACTTTTATATTTGCATTACTATGTTTAAATAATTACCTATTCATGACTTTGTGGGGTAATTTTGCTCACCTCATTCTTTGGTTTGGAGTTACTTATAAAAGATGACATTTGTTTCTTGTAAATTTGGCTGGTTCCACACTGTGGTTATGGTTGGAACTTTGCCTTCCTCATTCGGAATCAGGCAAGATGTGTTGACTATACCCACCCCATTACCTCTCCTCTTCTTCTGCAGGACCACAGAGGATAAAGGTTTCGTGATTAGCTCATCCTTGCCCTAATTAGTAATAATGTGGTCCATGGTTGATAGCCTCCTGACCTTACTCCACTCTGTCTGCGTTGCCCTGAGCAACGACGGGGGTGGGGGAGACGGCAAGGGGCCACCCTGGCCGTGGCCCGGGCAGCCCATTCAAGCCATCGTCCTTGTGAGTCTGAACCAAGTCGGCCGCCTGAGACGAGGGATTAAAGCAGGGGCGTTTGCCAGTGCTTAGGGTAGGGGAAGGAAGGGAAGGGAAAGGGGGGGAGAGGGGGTCAGGAAGGGTGCCAGCCGCGATATTTTATCGTGTTGTCGTCCAACCGGACCCCCCGCCCCCTGACCTCCCCCTGACGGCGACGGCGGCGTGGGCTGCAGCACTAACGCCTGCAAGTCACCTGCCTCCCACCCCTCCACCTTCATGGCGGCGCTCATGGCCAGCCCCGCGGTGGCTGCGGAGAGAGGGGAGGGGGTAGTTCGAACGTACCCCGCGGGTGGGGCCCAGGCCAAGTCAAGGCGTTAGTCAGTGTTTCGCGCCGTGTGGGCCAGGTGCAGGACGCGCGCGGCGAGCCCCACGTGGCCCATAGCGGAATCGTCTCGTCATCACAGCCTTATCTCTACGGGGTGTCGCGCCGAGCACCCAGTGCTCCACAAGTGAGGCGCGGGTAGCGAACGGCTTTCCACGGACGCGGCCGGGTGGCCGAGCTCGCTCGAGAGTCAGTCTTCACCGTCTGAGGTCCACCCCGTAGCGCCGCGCCATGCCGCGCAGGTGAGCCTCTCCGCGGCGACGGCGTTTGGAGGGGGAGGAGAAGAAGTGTCGTTCGAAAACTTCTCGCCGAGGGTGCTTTCGTTTGAGCACGAAACGAGGGCGGTGTGATTTTGACGGTGCTTGTTTGCGTCTGCCCGCAGGCTGCACGACATGGAGGACGTCCCGTCGGAGGGCCACCCCGTCCGGCTCTACATCTACGACCTGAGCGGCGGCCAGGCTGCGATCTTCTCGAGCCTCTTGATGGGTGAGTACCTGACCCGACAAGTGCACCCGCAGCCCTCACCTCACCCCCGCACCGCCCCACTGTTCGACATCTGTCGCTCAGTCACCTTCGCCCGTGCCAATGAGGAGAAGGACGCGCGGCGGCGGCCAGCGGCCAGCAGCGGCCGTCTACGCCGCCTGGGGGGTGGGCCGTCCCGCCGGGCGCGGGCGCTCAACGGGACTGCATCTGCCAGGCGCTCTCCTCGCTGCGGGTCGTGTTCTCTCTCCCCTCCCCGCCGCCGCCACCCTCTTTCGCCTCTCGCTCTCCTCTCACCTCTCGCCTGCTTTGTTCTTCAGGAGGCCACCACATTGACGGCGTCTGGCACACGTCCATCGTGGTGTACGGCCGCGAGTACTACTTCGGCAGCAATGGCGTGCAGGACTCGACGCCGGTAAGTATACAACACCCAACCCCACACAGCGAGGCACACCTCACTGCCTCTCGGACGGAACACACAACTGTCTCGTTAAAACGAGCGCTTCTGTTGTAAACCGACGCCGCGCCGCCGCCGCGCCACTCCGTGTGTCAGGGCCTCGACACAAACAGTATGCGGGGTTGTGCCTTCTCGCTCCACGCGTAAAGCGCCGTGGCCCCTAGGGTATGCAAACCCGCAACACTGTTCTGTCGTTGGCCCGACACACGGCGTTTATGCCCGTCGTTGTCGTTGGCGGGCAAATTTTCCACGGCTGCGGCACTAGTCTGTTGTGACTGATAATTGCTTCTAGAGCCTGCCCACCAGGCAGACCCTTCTGAAAATGTGTCTATGGATGTGGCCTAGAAGGCTAGGCAAGGCGTAAAGGCGCACCGTGTTGTCAGGGCTCCGACACACCAGTGTTGCGGGTTTGCATACCTTAGAGGCCATGGCGCCTTGCGGGTGGAGCGAGCACAATACTGCTGTGACTCACGGTGCAGGTGTCATGTGGGAACTTTTGGCTACTTTATCTGGCAATTGGCAACACTGCGTGCACGTGCGCGGGTGTCGGGCTCTTCTCCTCGCTCAGCCCGACCGCTCTCCCTCCCGCTCCCGGTCGGTTTGTTGTTCTCTCGCCCTGTCCGCCGCCCCCGGCCAGGGCCAGCCCCAGCCCCCGCGCGTGGGCGGCGAAGGCGTTTTGCTGTTGCTAGCCCTAGCCCACACGGCGGACACGTCGTTCGAACGGACTTCGCCAACAAGCTTCTAGGTAACCGTTGTGAGAGTCTCTGGGCATGCACAACAGCCGCTGTTAATCTCATAAAAGCTGTACATCTTGGAATTATAGCTTCTGTTGTGCGTTGGGGAAGTGTGTACTTTGAAAATCACAGTAGCGCGAATCGGCCGCAAAAACCTTCCCTGAGACGCGAACTGAACAAACATATTGTGAGGGCTACGGAGGTAGTGTAAATAACATCCTGTCCACTCTATTGCTGCTGAGCCCCGGTGAGCCTCCCCCCC